TCAGTATGTAAAAAATAGATAAATGAATAAATAAATATTGACAAAGCAAAAAACAAAAAACACAGAAGCAGATTTATGCATGAATTTTGTAACGAAACCAAATCGTACGTACATGGCATATTCAGCTCGTGTCTAGACCGATTTTAAGAAGGAATGTATTTCCTGGAGCCAAATAGCGACAAAATGTCCTGACTGAGACATATAAACACAATGCGTTACAAAGACGTTTATAAAATCAAACATTTGACTGAAGTACGATTGTCATTCAAGTATTTGTAAGAATGACCAAATGTTAAATATGACCCATAATTCCATTAACAACACACTAAAGTTTTTTTGAAACAAAAAGTCATATTTCATAAAAGATATGTATTTCGTATACGTGTTAATAAAATGTGCTTATTTCATATTTTTGCAATACAGATTTATTTTTCACCTAAAAGAGTTCCTAACAGGATAATCTACGTAATCATGTGGACTTTCCGGGGCATGTATCCAACGCGACTTGTGCAGACACTTCCGCATTTAACGAATGTGACAGCTAACCCTCGTTCACTTCAGAACGAGTGTTAATGATGTCATTTGAAATGGAGTAGGGTACCACGTTGTTTTGATCAGCTTGTGTTACACCTATTTTGTTACTCTTCCCTCGGGAAGTTTGTGGGAGGGTCACATCGTACTTCAACACGTCTACTAGTAATCTTTTCTAAGAATCTATCTACGCTGTAAAACTGACTTAATATCCGACACATTCTGCACTCAAATCATTATGTAAGTTTATATACTGGTTACCTTGCAGTATAAAAAAATCTATAAAAATACGAAACTAAACTAACGAGTCATCCTTCTAGGTTTCGTCATGCCTTAGCACTATCAAGTGTTCTGATATAAATCATTGGACACTAATGGCGCCACATGAGGAGTTCCCTGATAATCATTTGGTACTACTAGAGACAAACTAGAAGTTCCCTGTTAATCATTGGGTACTACTAGAGTCACACTAGAGACACACTAGGAGTTCCCTGTTAATCATTGGGTACTACTAGAGACACACTAGGGGGAGTTCCCTGTTAATCATTGGGTACTACTAGAGTCACACTAGAAGTTCCCTGTTAATCATTGGGTACTACTAGAGACACACTAGAAGTTCCCTGTTAATCATTGGGTACTACTAGAGACACACTAGGGGGAGTTCCCTGTTAATCATTGGGTACTACTAGAGACACACTAGGGGGAGTTCCCTGTTAATCATTGGGTACTACTAGAGTCACACTAGAAGTTCCCTGTTAATCATTGGGTACTACTAGAGACACACTAGGGGGAGTTCCCTGTTAATCATTGGGTACTACTAGAGACACACTAGGGGGAGTTCCCTGTTAATCATTGGGTACTACTAGAGACACACTAGAAGTTCCCTGTTAATCATTGGGTACTACTAGAGACACACTAGGAGTTCCCTGTTAATCATTGGGTACTACTAGAGACACACTAGGGGGAGTTCCCTGTTAATCATTGGGTACTACTAGAGACAAACTAGGACAAACTAGGAGTTCCCTGTTAATCATTGGGTACTACTAGAGACAAACTAGGAGTTCCCTGTTAATCATTGGGTACTACTAGAGACAAACTAGGAGTTCCCTGTTAATCATTGGGTACTACTAGAGACACACTAGGGGGAGTTCCCTGTTAATCATTGGGTACTACTAGAGACACACTAGGGGGAGTTCCCTGTTAATCATTGGGTACTACTAGAGACACACTAGGAGTTCCCTGTTAATCATTGGGTACTACTAGAGACACACTAGGGGGAGTTCCCTGTTAATCATTGGGTACTACTAGAGACACACTAGGGGGAGTTCCCTGTTAATCATTGGGTACTACTAGGGCCACACTAGGGGGAGTTCCCTGTTAATCATTGGGTACTACTAGAGACACACTAGAAGTTCCCTGTTAATCATTGGGTACTACTAGAGACACACTAGGGGGAGTTCCCTGTTCCCTGTTAATCATTGGGTACTACTAGAGAAGTTCCCTGTTAATCATTGGGTACTACTAGAGACACACTAGGAGTTCCCTGTTAATCATTGGGTACTACTAGAGACACACTAGGGGGAGTTCCCTGTTAATCATTGGGTACTACTAGAGCCACACTAGGGGGAGTTCCCTGTTAATCAATGGGTACTACTAGAGACACACTAGAAGTTCCCTGTTAATTATTAGGTACTACTAGAGTCACACTAGGAGAAGTTCCCTGTTAATCATTGGGTACTACTAGGGCCACACTAGGGGGAGTTCCCTGTTAATCATTGGGTACTACTAGAGTCACACTAGAAGTTCCCTGTTAATCATTGGGTACTACTAGAGACACACTAGAAGTTCCCTGTTAATCATTGGGTACTACTAGAGACACACTAGGGGGAGTTCCTTGTTAATCATTGGGTACTACTAGAGACACACTAGAAGTTCCCTGTTAATCATTAGGTACTACTAGGGCCACACTAGGGGGAGTTCCTTGTTAATCATTGGGTACTACTAGAGACACACTAGAAGTTCCCTGTTAATTATTAGGTACTACTAGAGTCACACTAGGAGAAGTTCCCTGTTAATCATTGGGTACTACTAGAGACACACTAGAAGTTCCCTGTTAAAGTTCCCTGTTAATCATTGGGTACTACTAGAGACACACAAGGAGAAGTTCCCTGTTAATCAATGGGTACTACTAGAGCCACACTAGGGGGAGTTCCCTGTTAATCATTGGGTACTACTAGAGACACACTAGAAGTTCCCTGTTAATCATTGGGTACTACTAGAGCCACACATTGAGTTCCCTGTCAATCAATTGGACTATCGGAACCACATGTGGGATTTCCTGCATCTCATCGACTACTGGAGACACATGAGATGTTACGTGTATTGGGCACAATCGAAGCCACATTATGGCTTTCTTAAAGCCATAGAAAGTAATTCCATATATTTACATTAACAAAACAAAATAACTAATTTTTTATATTTCACATAGATTTGAATGTTTATTTTATTCATATATGTCATTACCATCGGCTGCGTGTCGGCATGTATTTTCGGGATGGCTAGATTAAGGATTAAGTGTGTAGCATGTCACTAACATCGGCTGTGTGTCGGCATGTATTTTTGGGATGGCTAGATTAAGGATTAAGTGTGTAGCATGTCACTAACATCGGCTGTGTGTCCGACTGTCTTTTTGGGATGGCCTGATTAAGTGTTGTAGCATGTCACTATCAGTTGTGTTTTCTACTGTATGTCACTAACATCGGTGATATAAATGTTTTACGTTATATCCGTTTGGGTACCTCTTATCCTGAATGACATGTCGGAAGAAAGTAGTTGTTAATATAACGAGATATAGTGGACATCGTGACAAACAATAGAACACTGGAAAAGCGGGAGTAGGAGAAACGTATGTACAGTCCTGGTCGGCTGAAACTGGTACAGGAATGTATTATGGAAACATAAAATTATACAAACTGTTTTATTTTCAACTTTTACCTAAGCGAGTCAGCCTGTTTATTTCGGCATACTATTTTGAGACCACTGAAACTCTTTCAGGCAATGTCTCGGTCAATGTTTAAAACAGAAAATGAAAATAGAAAATTTCGTTTGTGGACATAGCAAAGGTTCATAAAAACACGAATAAGGACAACGCGATCTAGTTTAGCTCTTATGATGCATAGGTCTTTGTGTTGATCAGTCTGGTTAGTCAAGAAAGGATCGTTACGTGATCAGCCAAGATATTCCGGTCGTAGAATGATGATAACAGATAGACTTTGAAGTAGTCTTGTATTTAATCGATTTATAGAAATCTCCAGAATCTAATTAACGTTGTACATAATACATAATAAACATCAAACAACTCGTAGTGATATGACATGGGAATCCTTATCTGTAATTAAACGGTCAAAACCTGCATAATCCTAGAAAAACAACCGACTGCCCATAGATCCGAGATTCTTAGAGGGGTCAACAAAAGACAGTCACTGCATCCACTACATACCAAAGAGTTGCAAAAGCAATAAAAATCAGGATATGACGTCGATACGGCGAATGGAGAGATTTCCGGAAACAACTGCTATGAAAATGAGAAATCTGTCCTTGTTCTATAGAAATGAAATTGACAATGAATCGATATACTTCCGATTACTGTAAAAATATAGTTTTTATCATATTGTTTGGTCGGAGATGACACGTGACTAATGCGATTTTGTATAAAGTGTCTAATGATGAAGGCGATGACAGATATTAGGTATACTGGTAATTAGCTTGACTTTAGCTTGACAAACCAGTATATCTCTGATCTTAGAAGAGGCCTGGGAAAGCAAATCGCTATATCTAAATTACAAATGTTTTAAATTCTACACTGAATTAAGTTTGAGCAATAACGTGTCACAAAACACGTAATCAAATACTTTATCACTGCAATTTATTTCTATCATCATGCAGTTAACTGTCTCGCTTTTACCATGTGGTATTATCGCCGCTACATTGGAGAGGGGTTACCATTTCTGTACGTACTGACACTGCATCAAGACATAATTAAAGGTTAAAGCAACATTTTCATTTAGCTTTAAACAATATATTTCCACCGTTAGTGTCCCTTTAAATACTCACAGAATGAATCACTTTAAACCTGACTTCTTGGTTCATTATTTAGTGTTTCTATCTGACCAACATACCTCTATCGGCCCAGCGACGCAATCCTATCCTTTATATTATTAGACTCTGTAAGGTTAACGTTATATGACATGGCTGCTGTTATAGTAGATTGCTGATTGTATTACGTTAGGACATCATGTACCCATGCCACACAGCAGACGCCAAAACATTCGGTGTGAAATATTTTGTGAATGAGGGAAACGTTTTATTAGAAAATTGGTACTATTTAATATATAAATTCTGCATCCGCATATGAATTCAGACTATATAATACAACAATACAACACACGCACACACTCAACATACGATGACTAAAGAGACGTTTCCATGATGGTCCTACATTGCTGTCTCTGGGATGTGCTAGGTTGTCTAGCACTCTCTGTGCGAGTAAGTCTTGAGCTAAATGGACTGTCATTTTCGTTCTCAAATAAAGGCGTGTCCATCGACAAGGCATCATCGTAACAAGGGAGAGAATCTTCCGAAAGCCCGGACCGCGCGGACCGGAGCATTGATGGACCCATCGAATGTGCGCTTGGCGACCTGAGGGGAAAAGCACATGTCCTTCTCTCCAAGTTTAGTGATCGCACTGTACTTGTCTCTGGGCTATTTTTTGTCTTTGTTCTCGGTGACCTGTTTAAGCCTAGAACACGAACGGTAGATGTTTGTGTATTTATGGCCACCATACACTCCTGGGGAGAGGACGGTGAACTAACGGGGTTGCTAGGTGTATCCTCCCGCCTCCATGGACCTATAAATCGGCGCGATTTTCTTCTAGGACGGTTTGGAAAACTGAGATCAATTTGCATATCATTTTGAATAACTAGTCCCCCATTCACTATCGTGTAACTATGACAACGTCTGAGAGATGGAGAAATTGGGCCAGATGGCAGTCTTTGCAAGGCATCCTGTTTGGTAGCAGATGACAGCGACCCATACGTCACACTCCGCTTAGCACCGTATATTGGCGAAGTGGATACGTTACCATTTGCATCAGGAACTTCATAAGTCACATTGGAAGCCATGAGGAGTGCCTCGGAATAACTGGGCACTAGTGCATAATTGTTCTGAATAGTTAACTCCAGCTCGGTGCTAGTCATTGTGTTGACCCTTGTTAATTGTGCTATAGGGTCTGGGGGCTCACACTCAACGTAATTATTTCCAAACACTTTGTGTACGTGATAGTGGACATAAGCAGTCTTAAACTCGATTATGACCCTCAATGGCCAAGACATAAGCAAACTAGAGGCGATCCAGAATATAACGTGAGACACGTACCAAGGCAGATTATTAGGATCGGCGAAGGTTATCATGTATTCCTTGAAATTGACATTAAGAAGGTCCATGCCTTCCCTTGTTTCCATGTAGTCGTCTCGTCTTTCATTCTCGCGGAAGAAGCGGCTCCTCTGCTCATCAAATTCACACTCGGCGTCAACAGAAGCGAACGAGAATCCCTTGCTGAATTTAATCTTTGTGGCAGGGTAGTCTTCTAGACCATGCAGTATGGATGACATGTCCTTGACCCCACACTGAGAGAAGTTAAAGGCAGAACCAGCGGTGTGAGAGTTGATGCGCTCGTAATACACTTGTGTAGTAGTGAAAGAGTCACCATTTCTGTATCGGGTCACATGACGCGTTTTTCTCACATAATGGTAACAGAGTGCCTTCCACCACAATATAGGAATGGCATTACGCATATTACTGATCTTCTCGTACACCGTTCCTACGTCCACTTTGTGATGCAACTCGATGCGCGTGTGGCTGTGCCAACACTCCACCAGGTAGACGAGGTACAACATGATGACAAATGCCACAGGGATGTAGATGTACCCGTCCTCACACGGGCTCGACTGCGTGATGGTCTTGTCTGACCGACGCGAGCCGTAGTAACTAACAACGACGGTCGTGATGATGGCCACACGACACCACGCTATGGCGCCAAGGCAACCACAGATGAGGACTGTCAGAATCAGACATTTCCAGTGAGCGTCACGGCGCAGGGAACCGAAGAACGACTGCTTGGTCGGTCTTTGCTGCAACGAAAAAAAATATTCAATAATTTCCAAAACTGGCTAGATTTTCTTCATAGGTTTAGATGAAGTTTAGATAATAATATATATCAACAGATTTACAAGAAGATTTAGTTTGATTGTAGAGAAGACTGAATGACATTTGTAATCTATGCTGATGTGATCGGTGTGTACATGATGTGAAGTTTGAGATTTGTCTAAAAATCAATCGCTTTCAAAAACTGTTTATGACAATTGATAATGAACATACAATTTTATGCTAACAAAGATGCCGGAGCACAGCCACACTCAGGTGACCAAAGGCTCTAGATGATACATATTTTGTTCTATAAATGTAAATAAAATCAAAATTGTAGATATATAATGGCACGTTTTGAATCAAAACTCCAAACAACACATATAAAGACCTAATGGAAATTTGTAACAAAACAAATGTTCACGAGTTCTTCATCTGTATTACAAATAACCCCCTTGAATGACTAAGAATTTGGTGTTAACGGAAAGAGTGAACCCCCTCATGTACTATGTACCGTGGAGGATCGTTCTCACACATACTCATAATATCAGAGATTTATTGTTTCACCATATATGCCAGTATCACCATCAACTTTTTCCTTTTTTTAATGTGACATTGCGTCTCAATCGTTTAACAGGTATTACACAATATTGTTTGAATTATCCTTGCAATAAGATTCTGAGGTGATTAGACAGGATGAGTGTCACAACACATCCTCGCTATATACTTTTTAAGAGGTATACACTGGGACTACTAGAAATTCTGAGATTATTGTACTAAAACAGCTGTGAAACCTTAGCTGACGTGTGTGATAAAGACAACGCCTTCATCCTACACGTTTACAAAGCATCTTTAATTTCATAACGAGGCTGATGGATATTAGACAGCAGATTATAAATGTATATATTATATTGGACACAATGTGTAGAACAGTTTTCATAGATGTTAATAGTTGCTGAACAGGCCGCCACGCCGACCATATGACACATTGCATGACAGTTGATGAAACATTAAACAGGGCGGATGTTGAACACCGTATCGATATCATTCGTTGCATGTAACATCCAATTAAAACAGAATCCTAGCAAACGTTCTGTAATGAGCATGATCTGTTGTGTGACTGTTTCTTGTATGGTAAATGCATGGAGCGAGTTGAAATAGCCCATAAATTCGTTGGGGGAGGAAATTGTAATAACCGACAAATTTGTTTGGGGAGGGAGTTGTAATAGCCCACAAAATTGTTTGGGGAGGGAATTGTAATAACCGACAAATTTGTTTAGGGAGGGAATTGTAATAGCCTACAAATTCGTTTGGAGAGAGAGTTAAACAGCCAAACTTACAAGCGTAGTCGTTGCAGTTAGAAATTTGCATTTTGAAGCGACATGTTCCACATAAAAAAACAAGTGCCATAGTCTTAGTGATTTACTGTAAGTGACGGTAACGTACCGTGTTCTGTGTCATTATGTATCAGATAGGGAGCAAAATGTCTGAATAACTTTGATAGTATAAAGATGTTCGCATTGCTGCGCCGCACGGTAGCATGGGACGATCTTATCTATCCGTTAGGGAAAAGTTTGTTCTGTTATTCAAAGCGTGATGTCTTTGTTCACATCACAAGCGACGTTATCGTAATGGAGAACATCAATTACCACAGTCAACTAGAGAGAGTGTTCGGCCAGAAGTCTTTGTCCTCCAACAATACAAACTGATTCAGTTTAACTGTCCCTAGTCAACCATGTTAACTCGTACATAAAACGTTACCACGTGCTTCCAATATCTAATCCTGAACTACTCTTGTTTCTTTACTTAACTCTTTCCAAGCTTTCATATTACAAAAACGCACATCAATTGATTTTAAATATTCTATTTCCCTTTAAAAATGCGATTCAGATTGAATTGATGTACGAGAGCTTTTCATAAATGGTCCAACATATTAAGAAGCGACTTCAATTTAATGGGGTGTGAATTTGAAGTTAATTATGATTTTCAGGAATACAGTGCCACAGGGTGTATCAACCGAGAAATTGTTCATTAGATTAACTTACTAAGTGGACTAAATCCATTAGGCTCACCTTCCAAAAGCGAATTAAAATTGTAAAAAAGTCTTAATATAATCAAAGTTTTTATTTCTAGATAATGGACTGTGTTTACAGACAGGAAATCCAGTAACCTTATTTCACACAGTCTCAAGTTTATGGTTATGACGTTTTACATCAAAAGGTTCTCACGTTCCCCATAGATGGTTCTCACTTTCTCCGATTTAAAAGTTCTCACGTTTTGTAGTGTAAAGTCCTCACGTTATCAATGTAAGATTTTCACGTTCTATAGTATATCGTTCTCACATTCTCCAGTATAAGGTTCTCACATTCTCCAGTATAAGGTTCTCACAATCTCCAGTTTAAGGTTCTCACATTCTCCAGTATAAGGTTCTCACAATCTCCAGTTTAAGGTTTTCACATTCTCCAGTATAAGGTTCTCACATTCTCCAGTATAAGGTTCTCACATTCTCTAGTTTAAGGTTCTCACATTCTCCAGTATAAGGTTCTCATATGTTCCAGTATAAGGTTATCACATTCTCCAGTATAAGGTTCTCACATGCTCCAGTATAAGGTTCTCACATGCTCCAGTATAAGGTTCTCACATTCTCTAGTATAAGGTTCTCACATTCTCCTATATAAGGTTCTCATATGTTCCAGTATAAGGTTATCACATTCTCCAGTATAAGGCTCTCACATGCTCCAGTATAAGGTTCTCACATTCTCTAGTATAAGGTTATCACATTCTCCAGTATAAGGTTCTCACATTCTCTAGTATAAGGCTCTCACATGCTCCAGTATAAGGTTCTCACATTCTCTAGTATAATGTTCTCACATGCTCCAGTATAAGGTTCTCACATTCTCCAGTATAAGGTTCTCACATTCTCCTATATAAGGTTCTCATATGTTCCAGTATAAGGTTCTCACATTCTCCAGTATAAGGTTCTCACATGCTCTAGTATAAGGTTCTCACATTCTCTAGTATAAGGTTCTCACATGCTCTAGTATAAGGTTATCACATTCTCCAGTATAAGGTTCTCACATTCTCCAGTATAAGGTTCTCACATGCTCCAGTATAAGGTTCTCACATGCTCCAGTATAAGGTTCTCACAATCTCCAGTATAAGGTTCTCACATTCTCCAGTATAAGGTTCTCACAATCTCCAGTATAAGGTTCTCACATGCTCCAGTATAAGGTTCTCATAATCTCCAGTATAAGGTTCTCACATGCTCCAGTATAAGGTTCTCACATGCTCCAGTATAAGGTTCTCACATTCTCCAGTATAAGGTTCTCACATGCTCCAGTATAAGGTTCTCACATGCTCCAGTATAAGGTTCTCACATGCTCCAGTATAAGGTTCTCACATTCTCCAGTATAAGGTTCTCACATGCTCTAGTATAAGGTTCTCACATTCTCTAGTATAAGGTTCTCACATGCTCTAGTATAAGGTTATCACATGCTCCAGTATAAGGTTCTCACATTCTCCAGTATAAGGTTCTCACATGCTCCAGTATAAGGTTCTCACATGCTCCAGTATAAGGTTCTCACAATCTCCAGTATAAGGTTCTCACATTCTCCAGTATAAGGTTCTCACAATCTCCAGTATAAGGTTCTCACATGCTCCAGTATAAGGTTCTCACAATCTCCAGTATAAGGTTCTCACATGCTCCAGTATAAGGTTCTCACATGCTCCAGTATAAGGTTCTCACATTCTCCAGTATAAGGTTCTCACATGCTCCAGTATAAGGTTCTCACATGCTCCAGTATAAGGTTCTCACATGCTCCAGTATAAGGTTCTCACATTCTCCAGTATAAGGTCCTCATTGTTTCATTTGATTTTAGCGGTAAGATTTTGCTTCCCTCTCTTGGGCAACTTTTTTTTTACGTTGGTGAATGTATCAAAGAGCTTAGGTAACAGAGATAAATTTGCTTTTATGGTGATTCTTTATCAGCTACCTACCATGGGTCAAGGGAATAATCTGGTTATCTACTACACATACAAAGTATATAAAACTATTGAAATGTTAAACGCCATGTACACATGGTGATTCAGACGGTTTTCACTGTGAATCCTTTATTTATTCCGGTAGCTTAATGGCCGTGAAGAATTAACCTAGCGTTTCCATTCAGGAACATGGTTATTTATGGGAAATTTCAATTGAGGAAATTAGCCGCTTGTGTATTTTTTGTGGCTTACAGACGTATATCAAGTAGATAGAGGGAATATACTTGGTTACCATCGATACAATGTTGATTAATGATAGCATCGACTTCCTCCATATATATGCAGGCTGACCACTATAAAATGTCGGATATGTCCGCTGTTACATCTCCCTCCCATAGACACTAATACATCTGCTGTTAAAACACCTCCTAACCCGGATATGTTCGCTGTTACATCTCCCTCCCAGACAAAACACGTTTGCTTTTACAATTCCTCCCAAAACGCATATCCCCGCTGTTAAATCTCCCTCCCAGACAAAACACGTTTGCTGTTACAACTCCTCCCAACCCGCATATCCCCGCTGTTACATCTCCCTCCCAGACAAAACACGTCTGCTGTTACAACTCCTCCCAACCCGCATATCCCCGCTGTTACATCTCCCTCCCAGACAAAACACGTCTGCTGTTACAACTCCTCCTAACCCGCATATCCCCGCTGTTACATCTCCCTCCCAGATACCAACGCGTCTTCTGTTACAACTCCTCTCAACCCGCATATCCCCGCTGTTACATCTCCCTCTCAGACACTAAGACAACTCACGACCCAAACGCGATTCTTCTGTTACAACTCCTCTCAACCCGCATATCCCCGCTGTTACATCTCCCTCTCAGACACTAACGCGTTTTCTGTTACAACTCCTCACGACCCAAATTTGCCCGCTGTTACATCTCCCTTCCAGACACTAACTTGCCTTCTGTTGCAAATCCTACCAACCCGAATATGCCCGCTGTTACATCTCCCTCCCAGAGACACTAACACGTCTGCTGTTACAACTCCTCCCAACCCGGATATCTCCGCTGTTACATCTCCCTCCCAGAGACACTAACTTGCCTGCTGTTGTAAATCCTACCAACCCGAATATGCCCGCTGTTACAGCTCCCTCCCAGACATTAACGCGTCTTCTGTTTTAATTTCTCCCTACATTTAGTTTATATAAATGATGAGTATTGATATATTACATGAAACCTACAGTCGAGGACTTCATTTGTGTTTTGCCTAGTCTACGAACATAAGAACATAAACGGATGTCTTACTATAAATTTGATCACAAAACAATAATTTTCTTTCGTGATACTTTTTTTTAACATATTCCCTCTCGCCCTATTTTCATACAGTGAATTCGAATTGGCTTTTATGTCTGAGACTCGCAGACTCACATAATTACACGTATACCTCATAAGGCATCAGCTCGAACCATCATTAGGGACGAAATAAGTTCGTAAGGTTGTTAATTTTTGCCTTTTAAATGTTTGGTCAAGGCTATATATTAAAGAGCAATCACATATCATAGAGACGCTTGTCAAAGAGAAAGGGATAACTATCATACTCTAGCTTCACAAACGGCACCAACTGCATTACCGCGCTAAAACATTGCCACAAAGCAGGACAATCATAATCACACAGATGTTTGTACCCGCCAATTCTTACCATGTAACATGCAATTTCAAGCTATTATTTTCGTCACATTAACATTGTTAGTAAGTGTCGCTAAGGTATCGATCTCGCTGAAAGTCGGGCGCTTCTCGGGTTTCTTGGACAGTCATACAACTGGAAACTCACACAAGGCATTATCGTCCTATTATCGAGCATTACTATCAAGTGTTCTATGGATGCAGAATTTTACAATTACAGGTTTCCGGTTTGTGTAGCGGCAATTGTGGGTGTGTGACAGGTAGTTTAGATCCTGGAACTGAGTATAAATTGCCAACTATTCATTTAACACGAATTACCCGATAACAAAAGATGCCTGAAATGGTGCACCACCATTCACTGGTTGTCACACGGCTCACGTAAACCACTCACTCTCCGCCCTCCTGTTATCACTTGAAGTTTCATTAATTCTTGGAGAAATCGGACATTTCTGTTGATGTTTGGTAATGAAAGTAGCACTATGGTTTCAAAGAAGTGTCGTTAAAAATATTACAGACCGACACTTTTATATTCTGTGTTGTTGAAACCTTAATTAGTGGATCTGTTGTTGAACAAGGATACATGCTGCAGTGCACTGTCTTCTGTACCCAGATATACTGATAACGCCTTGTCTTTATATAAGCAGAGATTTATTGACCACGTCTCTATCATATACACCCACCAGAATAGGAAATTGAAAACACGAAAGACTCGTCTACATCAGCTGTTTATCTCGAACTTTCCCCACAACGAAACCAACATGAGCAACTTTCCACCAGACTTTAAGATCA